CTGTGCGTGTGTGCTGGGATTTGCAGCTCGCTCACCAATATGCTGAGTTGATCTTAAAAGGCTGACTGCTTTCAGATTGCATCAGCTCCTGCGGCTGTCTGAGGAAGCTAAAAGCTGGCACATCTTGACTGCTGGACCTACAGTTTCATTTTAAAAACTTATAGTATAAAAAGCACAGTTAAACTTCTGCCTTCTGCTCAGTGATCAGGCATGGAAGGCTAAAGATAGTCTTCTGAGACTGCTTTGACTAGAGTGGAAGATGATGTTCAGAGCTGGTGGGAGAGAGCACAGGAGGACAGAAGGACTCATCTGTTTTCTCTGAACCAGGTCTTGCATAAAGAACATTTCAGCTCTGCTAGGAGGAACTTTATCTCCGTCCCTGGTGAAGCCTGGGGTAGAGTTATGCTCAGCCCCTCTGCCTGGACAGAGTTGGTATCCAACCACGTGCTGCAAATGCTGCTCTGCAAGCTGTTATTGGGTTTTTTTTCTTCATTCCCCCCAGGTTTTGGATTACCTGTTTGCACACGGACAGCTTTGCGAGAAGGGCTTCGATCCACTTCTTGTGGAAGCAGCGTTGGAAATGCACCAGTGTTCAGAGGAGAAGGTGAGGGTGCAGTGTGCTAAGGAGTAGAGAGAATGTGCTGTGATGGGCAATTCCAGCAGCAGTTCCACTGGCTGATGTAACTCCAGCTTTCATGGTAATGCTGCCTTGTTTCCAGAACTGACCGCAAGGAGCGTCCTTGCAGTGAGAGAGCGAATGTGTGTTAAAGCATTAGACTTGCATTGGTTTATTACTCTCACTTGCATGCATATTTATGGGGACAGGATTTCTTAAAGACCCTGCTTATTCTGGTTGTAATGTTTTGAACCCAGAGTGCTCTTGTGGGTGAGATGCTTGGTACAGAGATGGTTAAATTCAGAAACAGCAAATTATCTTTCAGACCTGCCAGCCTGCCTTGGTCACGAATTTTCTCCCTTGTACAAAAGCATCTGCTTGGCTGCTCACAAATCAGGTTAGGGCACGCTCTGGAAGAAGACAGAAAACATGTTTCTTTTGGGGTCTGTTTTGTTGTCTAGCTGCTTTACCAGCAGCAAAGATACAGAGGCAGGAGCAGGTAGCCAGGGCAGAGAGGACAGCAGGATCTTTAATGTCTGCCAGCCTGTTGTATGCCAGATCATTATATGACATCTTTAGAGGTGCGACCCAACGCCCTCAGATGTAGATATGCCTTCCTGCTTTTATTGGACTTAGCGATGAGCTTCAAACAGAAGAACAATGGTGTGAAGGTGGGAGAAGTAACTGAATTCAGGAACACATTTGCTACTGGCTTAGCCCCAAAATTGGAAATGGGTAATCTCCTAATTGCCTATTTCAGCCTGTTTGCTTGTTCTTGTTTTTCCCTTTCCCATGGAGGCACTGTAAATGGCACAGCGTTCATAAAATTCTTGATCAGCTGATTCACTTCTTGTCACCTCATATTCTTCAAAGCTCAAGGAGGATTTGTGGTTGATTTTGGTAGTAGCGTGTCCACTAGGGTTTGTGCTAATCCCCCGAGTTTGCCCAGGCCAGTTGGTAGCAAGGGCTACTCTACTGTTCCCAAAGTCAAAGTAACTTTAAAAAAATCCAGATGCAGTGGGAGCAGGGTGCTGCTAATCAGCATTTTGGGGAGCCCAGATTGGGCCAGGCTGATAAATATCCTACTGGGAGAGAGACATCCCCACAGACTGAGCTTTGGTGCACTTGCTGAAAAGGACTTTGGAAATGCAGGACTGCAGACAGAAGGGGCTGAAGGTGAGGCCCCTGTGGGCTGCTGCACCCAGAGCTCTGCTGGCTCCGGTGTGAGTGGACTTTCTCAGAACAGAGCTGGAACAGGCTGTACTTGGGGAGGAGAAATCCACCCCGTGGGGTGCCCGGTCGCTGAAGACAGGATCTGTGCTAAACTTCCACCAAGGGCTGATTCTCTTTTCTCTTGCAAATAATGGACTGTCTTTGTCTTTCAGATCACAGAACTTCTCCAGCTAATGAGTCAGTTTAAAGAAATGGGCTTTGAACTAAAAGACATTACGGAGGTCTTATTATTACATAACAACGACCAACACAATGCTTTGGAAGATCTAATGGCCCGTGCAGGAGCCAGCTGAAAACACATTCCTGGATTCTCAGTGTGCAACAGAGCAGGACCAGCCCCACCACCTTCACACTCAGTGTGACTTGCTCCTGGCAGGAAGGAGTCCTGCTTTTCACATACATGGGACAGTGACTGAGCAAGCCCACCCGCGTGCATCACTCCAGCATTTCTCTTTCCACTGAGAGCCAACTTTCTTAAATTTTTAAAGTGTCCTTTCCTAAGTTTCCTTTTTCTAGCCTGGCCACGGAGAGTTTAGGCTGCCCAGCCTCTACTGGAATTGTACATAGTTAGAGATGGGAGTGGTTCCCCCCCTCACTGTTGCACTGGAGTTGGACAAAAGAATACTAAGTTGGTTCTAAAACTAGGATGCTTTGGTTCTTTGAAGCTGCTTTTATGGTGTCTGCTTGTACTGAACTACTTGACTGTGTCACGGTCCAGATTAACTGGTTAAATTTTACCTTAGTGCAATGGAGTTTTAATTTTTGGTTGAAAGTTAGTCTGTAACTTAGTAAAACACTGGTTCAGAAACTGTCGCTATGCATAAAGAAAGAAGCTGTTCCTCGTGTGTTTTTTTTGTTTTTTTAACCCATGCATCCAACACTTCTGCCAGACATGAGTGTCCAGTGCTGAGTGGTGTGTAAGTTCTCTTGAAACAGGTAAGCTGTGAACTCTACCTGGATGTGCAATTTGTGTTGGTTCTTGAATCTGAAGGCAGAGCTGGGGCTCAGTATTCTTAATCCCCCAGGCTTGTAGGATATTTAAGACAATGCCCTGCTAGGAAATCAGTTATCTTTGTTTTAAATAATACTCAGTGTGATGCAAGAGGCTTCTTTCAAGCACTTTCTTTAAAACAAATACACTCACTGCATTAAGTCCATTTCTCACACTGCTATAGAATTACACAATAACATCTAGTCCTAGAAACCAGGTTTTGAGTTGGTTTTGATAGTTCAAAGTATTACATTGTACACTGTTCAAGTTCTGAATACATGAAGTATCAGCAGTCTTGAGGAATCTTTAAAGTAATTTGCTAAATATTTTGATTCTGCAGAAGAACAACTAATAAAACCCTCAAATACAACTCCCAGTGTCATGGTTCCCATCTCTCATGCTCTTTGGCTTCAGCAGATGAAGAACTTGCTGGATCCTGCCTGCCGAGGTGCCGCCACTCCTGTAGGCACATGTGAACACTGAATGTTGGGTAGAACAACCTGGTGTCCAGGCAGGAGACTACAGTGGTGAAATATTCTGCTTTTTTCTGTGGCTTATTTTTGTTTTGTTGCAAAATCCAAGCCTGAGGATCCAAACTCATGTTGGAGCATGGAGCTGGGAGCACTGGATTTGGGGAGGGGAAAACGGCTTGGCTTGTTGCCTCCATTCAGGTTTTTCAGTAGGAGGTTTTAACTCATCAGGACCCAGAAAGAGATGGCATTTGTCTCCTATAATGTTAACTTTACATGACCAAGCCATTTGGGTCCAGTGTTAACTCCTGGAATTTTCTGTGAGGTGCTCAACTATGTTAATTTACATACCTTTACTTAAAATGATGCTGAGGAGAGATGTAGCTAGCACGTATCTACGAGATGTGGAGATGAGTGATGAACAGGACCAGGGCAGATTGCTTTGTATCGTATCCTGTAGCGTTGAGCTTCACCAGTTTCTGTTGGTGGGGCTGAAATTAAAACTTGTCTAAGGACATTCAGCAGCTGCTGCCTCTGTGGGTGCGGGTGAAGCAGTTGCCCAGCTTTCATTCCCAGGTGAGAAAGGTGACAGTCTGAAACAAGGAAATGATGCTCCTGATAAGTCAGAAAAGCTGGAAAACAAAAACTGCTTTACTATCACTGCTGGGAGCGTTCAGTTTTGCTGCTTGTTTTTTTGTTTTTCTCAGAACTAATATCTAAACAAGTCCATGTCTGGTACTAGGCAGTCCCGAGGGAGCAAGAAGTCTTGCCAGTGACTAAATAACTATTTAGAGCAAACTTCTCAATAAAACAATCTCTTTGGTTGTGTAAATGTGTGTTAAGTTTTCTCACAGTCCCTCTGTGGGGGCTGGCTCTTAACCCCACTGCTACTCTGCTTGTGGAGCAGAGGGGTGAAGATGGGAAGTGGCCCCTGTGAAGCTGGTCTGCTTCCTCTGTCTTCCCTGGCGACCTTGCTCTTGCTTCAGCTTTTCTGGCTGTACCTCACTGGGTGGCTGAAGGCTGAACGCATGTTTTGGAGCAGCTTCTCACAGAGGGAAAGACCACGGAGTGAGGGGATTAACCTGGTGCCTTCTGGGAGAGGCACTTCTGGGGAAACATGTAATGACACAACGTGAGGAAGCTTGAATGTCGCTCTGGAGGCTGTGCGTCACGTGTTACTCTGGTACTGTTCTGTCACAAAGACCTCCCTGCTGCTGGCTGGTGAGAAGATGACTGGAGACCTCAGGGCTCTGCCTTTCCTTCTCAGGGCAGATCAGTGTGTGTACCTGGCACTGGGCAACGTTGTCAGAGTTTCTGCCCTCCTGCACCAGCTGCCGCCAGCTGCCCGGGTCTGGGCAGGCTTGTGAGGAGACGCGTGGAGGCAGAGCCAAGCTGGTGCTTGAGAGCCAGAGACCCAGACTGCCTCAGCGGATTTCCTGCTCGGCGTGTGGCTGGGGAGAGCACAGGCTGCTGCCGCCAAACCTGGCGCGAGGGTCTGTTGAGGGCAGCAGCTTCTGAAACACCGGCCCGCCAGGTGTGAGGGGATCTCCTACTGACTCCCAGCCTCAGTTAATCAAACGGGAGTTTTAGTCACTTTGAAATCAATTTTACCAGAGTTATGTAGTAAATTGAATTTTATTTTAAATAATGTCAATTATGCAAATAAAATATTAAGCATCTGCCATGAGCATTAATAGTCTTTGTCACACCCGAGGACAAAAGACATTTTAGTTCTGTATTTATTTGATTGCACCCAGCCAAGATGTCTTAATCTCTTAGACTGCTGTAACGACAAACACTTCCATACTTTCTTCAGGCTGAAACAAAAACCATTCATAGCAGGTGTCAGTGCAATATCAAACAGCTCATTTAGCACATTTTCACACAAGAATTAAAGCAGCATCTAGGTAATAACCGTAAGAGCAGAGAGAAAACTGTTGCTGTTTTTGACAGCAGCTTTGTGTATGAGGAGCTCAGCTCTGGTATCTCCTGGGACTGCAGCACTTCAAGTGTGTCTGTAGCCCTATTGCTAAGGCTGGGTGATTTTTCCCAGCCAGGACTGCTGTTATTTTTTATTTATTTATTTATTTTAGACAACTCATACATTTTAGCAGGGAAAACACAATTCTGAAAACAGACTGATAAAAAAAATCTTACATTGCATAAGGTCTAGTCTTGTGGAGTGGCTAGATTGCTCCACTTCAAAAAATATCAGACCTTAGAAAACTGCTTTTTTGTTGTTTTGTTTATTTGTTGTTTCTCAGTATTCCTGGCCATTCCTCCAGGGATACAATAGTTCCTGCTCTGGGAACTTGCACTGAGGCTCTGATCTTCCAGACACCTTTTTCACAGTAGACCGGACAGGAATCGTGAGTGGCTTGACTTTGGTAGCTGACTTAACTCCCCTCTCCTGCTCGTGGAAATTTCTGGTCACTTACCTGTCTTAACTACTCTGAAAATACTGAGGTTAGGACATGGCACTGTTGATTGTGCAAATGGTTCTTCCATGTGTGTTGCTTTAGAAATGGCCAGCTTGGGTAAGAGACAAAATGCCTGTGAATGTAGTTTGTTGAGCTGCTCCTTTAAAAAACCTCAAAGTACAACCAACCAGTACTCATCTCCCAAATGTCAGAGTACACAGAGGGGAAGTTTTCCTCCCTAGCACTGCATTACTGGCTGAGCATCTCATTTTCCTGTGACCTGTGCACCCATCCTAACAGCCTCACCTTTTCCTTCGCTCCAGGCAGTCTCATACCCCTCAGCAGCTCCCCAGAGCCCTGTTTTCTGTTCGTTTGCAGAAAAAGTGCTGGGAAATGGCTCTAAGTGTTCACATCCATTTATGCTTTCAGAAGGCACATGCACTACCCAACTGCCACATCTCTTCACCTTATGCACAGGAAAGCTCTCCCTGGCCCAGGAGGTGGAGGGAGGCTTTCTAAGAGTTGCTGTTTTTAAAGGGGAGCTTGGTTTAATGCCTGTTCTTCCCTCTGTGGCTTTAAGAAGGTGCCTGGGAGTCCCACTGCTTTATAGCTCTCTGGTGCCTGTCACTATGCTGTGCACAAATAACCACAGTGCCCCTGACATGGAGCCTGGCTCCTGGAACCTCATTTCTCCAGGCAAGGCTTCTGAAAACGGGGCTGGGAGACCTGGGCTCAGGCGTGACTTGCTGCTGGCCTGTAACCTGCACACAGGAACCGTCTGGAGAGCCGTAAACTCAGACCCTGGAGGGCTCTGCTCTGCTCCACAGAGTAATCCAGTCTCAAGGGCAAGACAGACTAACCAGTGCTAAAAACCAGCCCCAGCAGTCAGGGCACTGATGTGGGACTTCCTTCTGTTAGGATTCCTCCCCAGGGCTATGCTGTGTGACATTCCTGGGAGTGTTTGCCCCAGATATGCAGCCCAGATAATGGTGTCACTGCTGCTGCTGCACTGTGGCTCAGCCTGACCTGGGCTCCTCGGGGTAGCTGAAGACGCAGGCAGTAACGTTCACTGCTGGTCGGACAGCAGCGTCCCCTAACCCTTGGCATTTCTGGCTACTGAGCAGGCTCTGATTCAGCTAATGCAGGCTACCGAGGGGACACTGGGGTGGTTGAAGGTGCTGCGACAGCCCCAGTTTTGGAGCAGGAGCACTCGCACAGCACATTGTCAGCTGAGCATCTTTCAAGTTCACTTGTGGCTTCAGCAGGTGATCTTGGTTTGTGGTTCTGGTTGTGATGCATGAAGCACCAGTTTTTGTAGGGCTACAGATAATGATTCTGTAGTTCTTGATTCAAATACCAACTGCACATAACAGCACTGTGAGGAGTTTCTGAAATCTCACTGCCTCTAGCCAGACCCTCTTCTGCTGTGAAAAATCAACTCTGTTCACCCGGACGAGCACTGTACAGTTGTGCCACAGTGCACAGATCTCGGGTTTGTAGCAGGTAAGCTGTTAGCAGCAGTATGAAACCCACATCCTTATTAACATGCTAGATGCACCTTTGGTACAAAGTCCCTACTAAACCACCCATTAACCATGACCTAAGCCACCTCTTTCAAGGACCTCTGGAGCCTTTGTCTCAAGCAAAGAGCAAATGTGACAATGGCCTGCTGCTTTCTGAAAGTGACAGCACTTGCTCTGCCTTGACTTCTGTTTACTTACTGTCTAGTTACATTCGTGTGCTTAAGAGTGGTTCCTCTCTTTCCTGGCTTCTGTTTGCAAACACTTTTCTGGATAGCATTTCTGTTCAGACCTGTGCCTGGCTACAAAATGTTTTTCCCCCTCATTTTCTTGGCAACACAGAAGCGCCTTTGACATGTGAGAAGCTGGTATGAATACTGTAGACAGGACTGCCTGCTGCTTGGTGAGATATTTAAAGGCTGCTGAATTGTTATTCTTAAAAACATGGCTTACTGGTATTAAGGAAACACAAAAGCTTGTGGTGTCAAGTAGTCATCTCCAATTTACTCAGAATTCTCCCCATCCTCACCTAAAATACACACTAATCACAAACATCAAACCAAAAGTTATCCCCTAATGATCCACACTCTGCAGCACCAAGTGTGGCCAAACACCAGCGGTAGCTGTTCCTGGGCATGTGCAAGCAGAGAAGGTCTAAACTGGCAGAGGTGTTTGCAGGGACGTGTCAGTGCCAGGAGAGGTTAAATACAGCTGGAGCTGGGCTCGCATCATTTGGATACACTTCAACTTCAGTACCAAGACTTCATCCAGCTTGGTCACAAAATTCTGAAAATCCTGGAGAGGAAAGCAAAAGGAAAGTTTAGGGAACAACAGTAACAGCAGACTGGAGAAAATCAGCGTACTCTATGTGCTGATGCAGTACATAGATGCATGTTTTCTATTCTGCAGTATAGTAGATTAAATCAATGTTTCCTTATTAAAGTCCTGACCCTCACAGACAAAGTCAATGCCTCTAAATGCTGAGGCTTATTTACTCTGGTAGTTTTAGCTGTTGGTGAAATTACAGCTAATACAATGGTTTGAAAATAAAAATGTATAAAGCACCTGTTATCACCCTTGTAGACCGGTTAGCTTTTCAACAGTTTATTATAGGGACTGTTTATCTGACATGCAGTGTTATTACAATGTACTGAACTCTGCCGCTGACAACCTCTCGTGTTGGATCTACAATCATGAAAATAAACAGTGAGTTGGGCCACTCACTGATCAGACATAATAGCCCATTCCTGAGAGACAGAAGGGATTATTTCACATCAGGTCACAGGGCCAGTCCCACTCCTGCATGGCTACAGGTCTGCTAGATCTGACATGAGAAATACCAGCAGGGTATATAACCTTGGCCAAGGGGTCCTCTACCTTCCAAAGAAACCTGCCACACAATAAAAAGTGACATGGTACTGTGATTAAAACTGAAATGGAGGCAGTTATTTTTAAGTAGGGCTTGTATTAATAAGGCAGCACTCAGACTCGCTCTGCTCTCACTGAGAGCAGTTTGGTGCCTCTGTTCAAGATCAGTGTCTAAGCAGCTGGGAGGAGTCAGCATCCTCAGGGCTGGGGACTTCAACTGCCACCACAGGGAAAATCCATCATCCAGCAGCTCATTTGCCAGGACTCCAGCTATCTCCTGCACTGTATCTTTGTCTTGCAGGGACATCAGGACTGTAATGAAGACCAGAGCAGCTGCCATGGCAGATTTTTCTTAAGCACTTTAAATATTGCTTTGTTCAATATGTGGTCAGTCTTGTAGGAGTCTCTCCTGCAGCCAGAGTTTCATGGCTGGAGAAGTTGCAACTATGTGAAGGTGGAAGGAGAGAAACCAATAAGGGCAGTCAAATCGTAGTTCATTGCCCAAAGAAAGATCATGCTGTGAAATAACACTACAGGTTGTAAGTTGCTCACACACTGCTGGGAGGCCTGGCAAGCTTGTCATAATTCTGCTAGCCAGAAAATGATTGCTTGCTGCAAGGAGCAAATAAATGGTGGGGGGGGGAGAGAAGGGCAGAGGGCTGGTATCCAATGACCAATCTCAAAAGATTTCAAAAAAAAAAAAAAAATATTGCTTTGTATCACTGCATTCTCTGACACAAAACTAATTTGGTTTATGGCTCTTGTGTTTCTTAGTGAACTTCTGTATGTTGTCTGGTAACTCATCCCATGCAGCTGGAAATGACAGCCAATAGGCCGTGTAGTGGCTCTGTTCTGAAATCCCTGAGGCAAAAGTCTCTGTAGCTGTACTTCAGATCTGAGCTGACAGAGTTTAAAATGGCTTGATGACATACTGCAGTAATGGAGCTTGGCTTTACTGATAAAATGAGGGAAATGGGAAAGGCAGGTTCTTTCTGGGAAATGTTAATGAGGGTGCTCACACAGCTGTGACATGTATCTATCTGGATGCAGGAGAAACAGAACTGGGACTGCCCAGCTAGCAGTGGGGCCATGCAGGTACCAGTCTTTAGGTCCAGCCTGAGTCAAGGTCATCTGGGACAAAGATAAGCCAAGAAACACTTGAGTGCCGAACGTCAAAAGCCTGCGAGGGAGCAAGTCACCGTGGTTAGAGCCAGGGGTGGGCACGTCCACAGTGCAGCATCCCAGCGCCGTGCCGTAGGGGCATGCTGTTTGCTGGGGTAGGGACTTACTTGCTCCAGCCTGTAAGGAGAAAAACGTCATGTGGAAAGAGGCCCTGTTTAGTACAGTCTGGCACCCACGATGCAAGGTAGGAGAAAGCTGTTTTATCCTCAGAGACAGGCGGTTCAGAGTTGGCCCATCAGTCCCCTTCTCCCGTGGGGACCTGGCAGTGTGGAGATTGGCAGAGACACAACAGGTCCTGAAACGAGCGGCCTCTCCTAGGACTCGGGGAGCCATCAGAGAACGAGAGGAAGAACTGACGAGGAATGTCACTCAAGTTTATAATCTCTAAGATTAATTTATCCAGGTTCAACAGGCACTGAAATCATCATCTGGAAACACTTACCATTGCAGACATCTGGTTTATCAAGCACTCTTCCTTGAAGCACAAGGATGCCATCTCATCCAGCTGCTGCCGATGTGCCCAAATTACAGCCTGTCTGATGAACATAAAATACACCACGGTTACACAGCCAGCTGCGCTACCTACAATTACTGTTGGCCTCCATAAACCTTTAAGAAGGAGGAATGCCCCAGAGGAAGCTTTGCTGTCCTGTGTCCCAGGCACTCAGAAATTGCACACCAGTGGTGCTTCAAGTGCAGTGGACTACACCGGTTTGGGGTTAAAGATGACCTTGACAACTGAGGCTATCTCAGAGAGCGACCACAGTCTCTCACTAGCAGAGGCAGCACACTCCTTTTTACCATAAGGATATCTAGGAGCAAAAAAATTGTCTAGTTAATTGGTGAAATGGTCAAATTAATTTGGTGAAAAATGGGCAGAGCAAGAAGGCAGTGCTGCTGTTCATTCCTCTGAGCAAGTTTATCTGAACAACAGTGTGTTTTCAGACCTGTGAACGCAGGCCAGTCCTTGGGAGCTGACAGTAGCATCTTCAGTGACTGTCCAGCTGCTCTAGCTGGTTTTCTTTCCATAGAGATGGAACAGCTATCACCTGCTTCTCGATGGGAGGTTTTGATTGGGTTTAGTTAGTTTACAACTTACAGGAAGCCAATTAGTTACTGAGAACTGCAGTTTGTATTGTGATACTCATTCCTCTAGCATTATCCTAGGAAGCTCTAATAGAATAATTGGCTTCCTGTGAGATTTTTAAATATCACTAAATAACAAGCAATCAAATATTTATGAGATAATTATTATAAATGATCATTAATCTTATTAAATAATTATTTCATAGATTGATTTCCCATCAGTCTTTAAAGTACATAATACACAAATAATGGGAAATGTGTCACACATCTAGAATTTCTAAACTTCACAACAAACTTCAGTGATGAGCAAGACTTACTGTGCCTTTTCCAGGGCTTGTCTCTGCCATTTTCCCATCTCTGATGTAGAGCTTGGAGAGCTGCTGCTGGACATGCCTGAGGGGCTCTTTGCATTTGCTGATGGCTTATTGTCTTTGGTTGGAAATCCTGAATCTGCAGGAAAAGTCTCTTGTGTAAAAATACTCTGTGTTAACTTGTTTTTTAGCAACCCCATTTCCCCATTGCTGAACGATGACTTAGCTGGGTCATCAGAATGACTGAAGTCCTTGTTCCTCTGACCTGATGTGGGCTGCAACAGCAGGCTGCTTTCTTGAGAGGGGGACTGGACTGCGTAATCTGTATGTCCCACACTGAGAAAGCAGGATGCACCTGGAAAATAGCTCTTCTCAGGTATATCAGCATTTAATTCCTGAGCCATGGGCTCCACACGGGGTCCTTGATTTGAGTTAGATTTTCTTGAATTACCAGTGTTATCTTCAACATCAGCATCCCACTGTCTGCCACCTTTGTGTGTTGAGTTACTGAGAAACAAACCACCCTCTCTCTCTCCCCTGGAGCCCGTGGATTCAGCTGGAGATGTTTCCGTCAGGTCACGTCCAACAAATAAACTGTGAACGACTCCTTGCTTTGATGAACCCGAGCCCAGGAGGCAGCAGCATGGCTTCACATCACAGCAGGCAGGTGAAAGCCACTTGTCCCCTGTTTGTGGGGAACGCAGCAGGGCACAGTGTCTTCCGCCACGACGCACTTGCTCCCCCAGTTCCAGCATGCTGTCTGTCAGAGCTCTGCTTCTCGTACATTGCCACTTCTCTTCCTCAGACCTGTTCTGGCAGCCTTGCATGTTCATGTCTGACATCGGCTTCACATGGGGGGACTTCTCTTGGTTAGAAGACTCTGCAGCAGTTGTTTCCTCGCAGTCAAGGAGGGATAGTGTGTGAGAGGCCATCAGCTCAGAAGTGAATTCTGATGAACAACTCGAAGATCCACAGTGGTTAACTCCATTTTTTTGAGCTTTCCATTCAACATCTCCTGCAAGGGTGGCCTGTCTATCCAAAGTGGATTCTTCCTTCTCTTTGTGCTGGAGGTCGATCTCTTTGCCCTCTGGAGTTTCCGATTTCAATACAGGAGAAACATATGAGTTTGAAGCATCCTCTTCTGGAGTTACGGTGGCTTCACTGGAGTAAATGAAACATCTGCGTTTGGATTTGTACTGTTTGTGATCAGCTAGGAGATCTTTGTCATTTTTCCAGTTACAAGCAGGATCTTCCTGCAAGCAGTAGGGTTTTTCTGCAGTATTGCTTGGAGAGGACTCAATAGTTAAGTCATAGCTCCAGTCTGATGGAGTTTTGCTGCAGCCTGCATTTTTAATGGATTCTTCTGCCTTTGGGCTGCCCCCACTATGATTCCAGCTGTCATCTAGTTCATGTTCTTGCATGGATATTGCATATTTAAAAAATAAATCCTGACGCTTTTGGCCTTTTTGCTCTTCTTCAGTTCCTTGTTCTCTTTGATGAAGGAAAAATGAATGTTGACTGCATTTGCTGGCATTTCTTTTCATGCTCTTTTCACTGCAGACAGGTGAGAAAGAATCTTCACTGAAATCACTGTCATCCAGATCTTCCAGCTGCATCCCCTCTTTGCTCTGTACTTCTGTGGGAGTAAGGCTCAGCTCCTGCTTCACTTGAATCTCCTGGGGCTTGTACTGTGTTAAAAACCTCTCAAGAGGTTGATAGTTCAAATTTTGCTGTAGAATAGGTGGCTGCTGAAACTGCTGGTGATAAAGGCGTAAATGCTCTTCCCTTTCCTTCTGAAATGGAGGCATATTTGTCCAGGTTTCAACACATTGTTTAGCAAAGGTGTTTCCCCATTCCTGTCTGCTGTTAGAAGGCAGATTTCCATCTCCAAAGGAAAAATCATCTCTAGAAACAAGCTGTTTCTGAACAGGTTGCACTGTCTGGACTTTCAGGCACTGGACAGGTGATCTGTCTTGCATATACTTGTCTCTCTGGCCACTCTCTCTTGTTTCTGCCATGGCAGCATTTTTGATGACAAAATCCTTCACAGTGGGGATCTTTTCAGAGTGTGGGGACAGATCATCAGTCTTCTTCTTCAGGGGATGTGCTATCCGTAGAACTCCCTTAACTGGGTTAGTGTGGTGGAACCAGGGTGAGCTGGGATTTCCTTTGTAGGCATGTCCTTTGTTGATTCCTCTGGGGCTGGAGGCAAAAGGGACACTCGCTGGCTGGAGTGCTGCAGGACATGCCTTTGTTTTTGTAGAATTTAAAGGATGCTGGAGGCCTAGCTTCACTTTTTTTGGAGAGCTCTTCTCACCAGGTGGCAAAGAGGGACAGTTTTGGACACGTTTTGGAGATAAGTTTCCAATTGTCCGCTGCCTGTTTGTGACAGGGGTCGAAAATTTAATCCCTTTCTTCAGCTCTTTGACCCTGCAAGTGAGACTGGCTTTAGATGTCATGCTTTCAGATAAAATAAGTGTTTTCAGAATGAACTAATGCTTTCACAGATTAAGGCTAAACACTGAATTCACTGTCATGATTTCTGGTTTAATTGTCAGTGACCCACACAGGTATCAAAACCCCTCTGCCAATATGCCTGAACTTCTGGAAAGGTCTACAGCAGTGTTTTGAAGTGCTTCCTTGAACAGAGCACAACAGGTCAAATGAGTGAAGATGGCCTCTGCTTCAGTGCAAGAGGGTTGCACTTCCACACTTTATAATGCAGCATCGCACAGTGCCAGCTCAAGACAAGCTAGTACTCTCCACAGAACGTCACAGGGTCCCACAAGACACAAATTAGGGTCTTTCGAGTAGTTGCAGTGGGGCTAATTAGCTCAGGTGATACATGTACAGGGCTACAGTGCTCCTGGACCATACTTCAGAGCATCTGTGAAGAGCTGCTTCACTGGTATCACCCTATCCCCTCAACTGCTTCCTGTACTCCTCTTCCCCATAAGCATCTCTTGTTTCTTAACTCCAGCACTGCACAGCCTGTAATTTACCTCCTCCTGTGTAGCAGGGAAGGTGAAGGACTTGCACACATTCTAGGAAGAACTACAATACAAAGTTAAAACAAAACTTTTGTCTGCTGAGGTTAGTAATCCTGCAGCTGCACAGTGATATTTTTATCAATAAAAACTGTCATCGGAAAGGATTTAGAAGGCCCAGAGAATTCCAAGAGTTGGAACATGTAAGCATTTTATTTGCATTGTGAAAATTGTATTTGTTGCCTAAATCGACATTTCCAATATAACCAAACTCAAATATAACTACAAACATCATATATTACTTTTTTAATTTGTCTTTTTTAGCTTGGCAAGATTGAGTTTCATCACCTACCTGTCAGCATATCGTAAAGTGTTCAGGGTGTGCTCTGTAGCTATGTGGCTAGGTGATACATTGGCTATCATACATGTCTTGGAATTGCCAATGAAAGAATCTTTTAGCACCTAGGGTTGGAAGGAAAAAAAATAACATCCTTAGCAATTCATGTACCTTTCATTTCCTGTAAACTAGCAACATTTACAGAGGCAGTTTAACTTGAGTCAGGTGATGCACAGTTGCTCTTTTTTTTTATTAAATGTAGTCCTCTTGTCTCTATTTGTCTTGCAATTCTTTGTTTACAATTTAAAATGAATATGATTGTTAATCAAGCCTCTGAACAAGCAACAGGTGCCCATATGTCTGAGTAATAAAGCATATGTTACAACTGGAATGAAGAAATGATGAAAACTCCCAAGACTGTAACTGCACAGAAAATGCAAGATTGATTGCAGACTGTGTGGAGATGGATGGTAACTCTGAATTAGTCTGGCAAGTGGGTTTGAGGGTTTGGTTTGGTTTTAGATTTTGGTTTATTCACTTTTGACCATACCAGTCCCCAGGATTGACTGGAGGAAATGGCAGTTGGCCTTTATTCTGTGATTACCTTTTATCTTTTCTTCAAGAGTTTAATAGCAGTTATTGAATTATATCCTTTCAATTATTTATTTATTTGTTTATTTATTTATTTAGTCCTCATCAGGGAAGCCTCTGCTGTTGCTTTTCTGCTCGTTTTACCTGAGTTAATTTGCTTTGCCGGAAAGGAGTATGTGCATGTTCCTGATCCAACGCTCGAATGCATTCCTTTAGCTACCAAAAGAAAAAAAAAAAAATACAAAGAGTGGGAAAAACATATCAGTCACACACTGGCAAGGAACTGAATTGCATCAGACCTAAACTGCAAATGTACTATTTCCCTCATGCACCTTTGACTCCTTCAATGTGATGTCCCTCACAAGGGAGTTTGCTGCTGCCACAGCCACGAGCAGCCAGCTTCAGCCAGTGCAGCTATCAGCAGCAGTTCAGCTGCACTCACAGAGAGCAAAGCTACCACACAGAACACAGCTAGCCCCGCTTGACAGCTCTCTGGGCTATACAAAATGCAAGAAGCTGGGTAAATAACACACATTTAGCACGTACAGAGCTCCGCATTGCTGTGGAAATGCTGCTGCCTGCACCATAGGTTAACTAGTTTGGAGCCAGATTGGGTGTGCTGCAGCTTACAGAGCACGTGGTCCCTAAAAACAAAGCTTTTTGAGCTTCAGCTCTTAGGAGGTTCTTTCTTCTAAGAGCTCTTCCCCTTGCAAAAATACCCCAACACTTTGGGCCACAGCAGTGCAAATTTCTTATGCCACTCTGGCAATATTTCAATACCTTAGTCAGGGATAGCATGAGCTAATGAGTGCATATTCCTCCCATACTGATTATAATCTGCAGTCTACATGTCCTATCTGTGCATGGGTACACTGGGCTGTTAGAAGGCAGCTGATCTCAAGCCATTTGCTCTTCAGAGCAGCACAAGGCACCAAAACCAACCAAAGTGGGGAGCATGGACCAGCACAAAACAATTAGCTGTGAGGGGATCTGGATTGAAATCCAGGTTCAAGCCCGCGCTCAGAAGGTAGTAATGATACAGCCTGTCTGAATGAACATGTCACTGTGACCTTTGACAGGCTAATAAGAACTATAACACAAAGCACCAAGAATGAATCAACAGACTATCCAGGGAATGGAGATAGATCTACAGGATTCCAATTGAAACTAACAGGACATGAGCAGCCAGCTACAGCTATGCCTTTCACAGAACATTAGATCTTCTTATTGTTAAAAACCACCAGAGGTAGCCTGTAGTCTTGAAGAAATATCATGTGATTTACTGCCAGCCTTGGAAAAAGAGGTCATGTTCAGACTCAAGGATGTGCATCTTTTTGCCATGTTTCCACTGGAATAAACATAATAGCATCACACTCTGTATCAAGCCTGAATGCTCTCTAAAACTGGCAGAAATAGACTGTATAGCCATGAGACAAGTAATTTAGCGCAAATATCGAAGGAAAAGTAAGATTACAGTATTGTCATGGTGATACTAGCATGAAGCAGACTTCCCACATTTAAAGCTACATTCTACATACACCCACTTAAAATACTTATTTCTCACTTTTACTGCATTTTATTAAAAATTGCACCTCTAACAACTAAGAGATCAAACTATTCTAATTTTTTTATTCTGCTTCTCATAATTGCAGTGTCTGAATGTCTTCTACTTGAAATCAAGGTGAATAGTCAAACTAGCAGCAAACTTCAAACTTCATGTCTTTTAAAGCCTGAAAAGACCATTATGATCACCGAGGGCAGAGCTAGGTTTTACAGGCTGCAGGTCATGTAGACTTACCCAAAGTTGCCTTTTATAGTTAATTCAGTCACTTCTTGCAGACTGCCTAGGAATTTACTCAGCTTCACACAATACCAAAAATACAGAGTGTGACTCTGATTTTAAAGTTCCTTTTAAAAGAGTTTCATGACCTTAAATTAAGACTTACTTCTCAGGAGTCCTTTCTATTCAGGTCCTGACTCCTCATGCCACTCAGTTATTCACCGGCAAGTACTCAAGAAAGCATGAAGTACAGAAACACATCCACTTTACAGGCTGTCTCCCAGTATGAATGCTGACATTCCACAGCAGGAAAGCCTCTGTGGTAAAGAACATTCTACACTCTCAAAACAGAGCGAGCCATCTCCTGTTTACCGCACACTAAGAGGCGAGTTGTGTGCACTAAGTTCTGCACTGTTGACTCATACTCGCTGATTGCGTATCACCTTTAGTTTCACTTAGACATCAGTGAGTTTGGCTCATTTGAATTAAAGGATGTGCAAAGCCTTCTGCAGTTTATACTTAAAGACACTTCTGCTTCATCTTGGATCGCATTTCTCTGCTCCTTGTCCCTCTTTACGTCACTGTGTACACTTATAAAAGACAGTTTGCATTAAGGGTGCACTTCCTGTTCCTTCCTCCACACACAAATTGCTAGTTTCTGTGCTCTTGAGTATTTAAGTCCTTTTCTCTTTATCTGAACACCACTGAGTTCAAGTGGTGAAAATAACCAGCAGGAACTGATGTGCTTTTATGAAACAAATATGGCTATCCCAAGCCCCTATTCTCTGGAACTAAAAGGGACAAAACTTTCTATGTAAAATATGAGACACTTATTATACTATACTATAGTATACTATACCTAACTTTCTCTGTGTTGTGGCTGGCTGTAAGAATTGATTAAAAAATACTTTCTATTCATCACAAAAATGTAAGAGGGAAAACCTTCTTAAATTGTCTTTCAGGCATGAGACAAATTAAACTGGACATACTTAGTACTTTGGTTACTTTTCCACGGAATACATACATATATTATTCAGTTAATTTTTATCCTAAAACACACACTTATAACTAAATACAAAACCTTCCCCAGACACGCTAGTAGCTTACTGCTAAGAGACTTTGGTTTATTTCTGCTCCTTCCATTTTTGTTTGTCGATCCGAGTCTCTGGCATCAGCTGCCCTTTCACTGCCGGCCAAGTCAATGAATGATATCCTAGAAAAAGCAAAGTTGCATTTATCTTAGGGGCTTTTTGTTTTTGTTTGGTTTTCTTTTTTTCCTTTTTTAAACCAGAGGGCTGCAACACACATCAGAAGAATGATTAGAAATGACTGCTTTTCAACAAGGAGAAATACCCACCGGAATTAATTGAGGCACCAAAAGAAGCATAGCAGCAGGAACAGTGTCAGATCACCCTGGCACTAACACAATCATAATAAAAAGTGTAATTGCATGTAATGAGAGTGCTCCACAGTCTAATGGGTACGCTGTTTAAAGTGCAACACAGTCACCTCTCCAGATAATCACTGTGCAGAGTTTCTGATGAACACAGTTAAAGAAATTGTAAATTTCTTGATTCTCCTTTCACATAAAACAGAAAACTGTCCTGTCAAATGGAAATTCAGGACAATATGAACAGAAATTTCCAGTGTAGTAAGTAATACACTGAGCTTTCAGTGTTCCTTGTCCCTTCCTTCCACAGAACTCCATTAATCCCATTCACATTGCCTAGCTCTGGGTGCCAGCTGTTGTACTGACTGTTGCACTGTATCTCTGTCTTTGCCCTGCTTCTTCTAGAACAGCCATGACTTCTCTTATAGGCATATCTTGGGATCCTTTCCCCACTCCAGCTCCACCTCATTTTCAGTAACAAAATGGGGCACACATGCCACACCTACATGACCACATACACTTCTATTTCTATGCCTATGCCTGACTGTTCTGCCTTTCCCTCTCTTCACTATTTGTGGCTCTTCCTTTTTGCCTTGTATTTAAAATAAGATCCTGGGAAGCAAGACTGCATGGTAGTTGCTGAAAGGGTGTGTCAGCATGGGTTTTTGACACTCAGCAATAATATAGATACCTAGACCTCTTTCCTCAGACCTATTTCTTGGGGTTGTTTAGTCTGGAGAAAAGATGACTGAGGAAAGGCACAATTGCAGTCTTCAAATAAGTAAAATGGCTGCTACAAGAGGAAGCAAACTGCTCTTTTTGTCTGCTGCAGATAGCATCAGAGTCACACTCTCAAATTATCAAGGAGGTTTAGGTGAGGTACTATGATTCCTCAGGCCAAAGGCAAACATCTCTAATGAAATCACCTCCACCTGAGCTAGTCATCCCAGGCTCCCTTTGTAGTCAATTACAGGACAGAGATGCTTTGAGGGGCAAATCCATCCAACTAATTTAGGTTGACTCTGCAGAATGGTATGAATGGGATCACAGAAATTACTGTTTCTTCCTACTGACTTCAAAGGTGATGAGCTCACAGGTGGATGTGCCCATTGCAGACATCTACCTTTATCCAGACGAACACAAGGCAGGAAGAGCTTTCTAACACTGAAGATAAAGGGATGGATTTGATTGCCAAACTCCTTCACTGGAAATTTTTTACAAACAAGTTTGACAAAGCTCTCACATACGTGGCTTAAGCACTCTCCCTGGGAACAGAGAAAGGACCGTGAAACTTCTCAAAGTTCCTTTGAATCCTATCTTCTGATTTAACCCACAGCTGACCACTAACTCAACACCTCCTCTTTGCCTCTCAGATGTCCCTGGGCTTAAGTTCCTCATCAGTCCTGAGCGCTCCCACTTCTAGTCTTACCTTCCAAATGTCCTGTTGGCTGTGTCTTTAATTTGGATTTGGATGATAGCATGAGATCGAGAGGAATCTGAGTTGACTCCAGTAGCTCCTGTGCTACGTTCTTTTCCCCCCTTCAGAATCACCTGCAAAATAAAAGGGACAAAATCCAAGCAAATTATAGATAAAAACACAGTCTCTCAGAAAAAGATCTTGTCCTAAGATGAGGAAACATTAAGAGGAATGGTTCATTACAGACTTAAAATTTGGTGCAAGGCAGACATTAAATTAGACTGAATCCCTTCCCATGTTTCTTTCAGAACGTTGTATATGGAATTCCTTATCCTGACACTACAGAGCTCAGAGAGGTAAATTGTTGCATTGCACATTCACTCAGTTATGCAAAATATCCAAAGTATAAAATTTAAAAAAAAGAAGTATGGCAAAGAAAGAAAGTAAGACTGCAGACATGACCTAAGAGACTCCTGAGATTGATTATTTGTTGTGTTCCTTTAAAATTTTACTTTTTCATGTAACAGGTGGGTACTGTTATCCAGGAAGTTATACACCAAGTGCCAAAACCTTTCTCCATTTCCATAACTAAGAGAAACTATGTGGAGTAAGGAACAACGTTTAAAGATCAATTATACTCAATACAACAACAAAATAAGAAAACAAGGAAGAGAGGCAAGGCAGAAGGACAAAGGCTCCTTCAAGATACAAATCTGGATAATTCTCTTTTGAAAACTGTTAAGGACTATCACAAAGTCTAGCAGCAACTGCAGCAGGGAATTCATAAAACAGTCATTAATTTTTTTTTTTGTTGTAAGAACAAATTAAAAAGTATCTAGCAAAATCATTATGTTCTCAGATGTGCATTATTTATGCTTTTCAGTGGCCAGTTCTCAACCAGCAACCTAAACAACTGCTGCAGCTCCCAAGCATTGTATTAGTGCTAAACGCAGATAATTTCAGAACCAAAGCCAACATCAGTGAATAACGAGGAATGTATTCAAGACTCTTCCCACATTATCTGTTGCAGACTATTCAGAAGCTCTGAGTCAAACCAGTGACATTTCTGCGTTCAAAAGGGCCTGTGGACAATATCAAATTATTTTTTTGCTGAGATACCTGTAAGAATAAATAAGAATTTCATGCCCTTCTATGTGTGGAATGTGATAATACAAAGGAATGTGTCAACCAACCATACAGCAAATTTACACTCTAATTTGCAGAAGCATGACCAGCATGTCTTGAAGCTTCGAGTTAATGGTAAGATGAAGAACAAAATTAAATGGAATACAAGTGGGCAACACCATACCAATTTCAATGATTCAATTACACTATCAGGCACTTGTAATTTACACTTCCTTATTGAGAAAGGAATTAAACTACGCAAAGTCATGCTAAATTGAAAGCAGATTTAATCAGCTTGCTTGCTGCAGGACAATGCAGAAAATTTACCAGTGCCCTTTTAGGGCTCAGCCAGGCAGGGAAGGAAAACTAAATCTTTGCTTATGCTGATTGTCAGCTACTGTTTAAAGATCCTAGTTTTGTTTGGCTGTTATGACCATCATTACCTAAGCAGTGTCTTAATCCTAATTCAGATCAATACCTCAGTCTTAAGTATTTTCTTATTTCTAATTCTATTAATTTTCAAATTTCAAATTTCTATCATTGTCCCACATCCACATACCAGAAAATTTAAGAGAAAATATTTATCCAGTTTTTAGGGTCCCTTACTAAGACATTATTTAATTTCTGGAATAGTGATGGCAGTCTATCTCTTGGCAAAGATCCTACCATAAGGAGTGGCAGCCGAAGCGACAGCTGTAAATCAACAGCTTACACATTGCTAAAACAAGTCACAGTGACCCAGGAAGCTTACAGAATAAAGGCACGATGACTAGTGCTCCTCAGTGCTCTGCTGGGGCTGTGAATTTCAGAACCTTGACCAAGGAACATACACATGTACTACACAACAAGCAACAATCTCTATAAATGATGTATCTCACAAATCAGCAAATCAGGCTCTAGAAGACAAAAAAAATGTAAACACAGAGGTTACCTCCAACAGTAGATCTACAGAGTCCACCTGAACCTCCCGCAGCCCTACTATCTGAACGACATGCTTGCTGTCTTCTCTTGCAAAAAGTCTGAAAATGAAACAATGAAGAAAGGAGATTTCTGAAATCTCAAATTGCAGCAATATAAACACATGTCAGTGCTATGACACTGTGAAGAAGCAGTCAAGGCTACTGACTGTGGAGAGGCACCACTGCCATTCATTTACTTTCAGAGCTGAAGAGGTATTTAATTTATAACATGTACCACTGACATTTCACTATTAAAGAGACATTAGCAATGCATTTCTGCTAATTCAGGAATATAATATATAGGGAAGTAAATTATTATGCCTACATTTTAGAGTTAATGTCCCTCTTTAAATGGCATCTCAGGCTTCTCTAGGAAGTTCAGACTGTAAGTTATGCTCTGTTCAAGTTCTCAAGAGTTTTGCACAGGATTTTAAAGCAATTCCCACAGCCACAGTCAGATTTCAGAGCACCTCTGCTATGAATCCCACGGAAGTGTTATAGAATACAGGAAAAATACAATGCACATGGGACAAGTTTAATCTTCCTCTTCAGTGACATGTAAGATAGCTAATGGACATGCAAAGAAACTAAGGACACTCTTTCTTCCTTAGTAAATTGACTCCTTACATAACAGATTACACTACCTGTTCCTTAAAGAACGTTTTGGAAAAAGGGAACACACAAGCACAGAAACAGGTGCCTCCTTTTTGAACAGATGCTCAAGTCCCCACACAGAAATCCTTTCGAGCCCTCCAGTGTGTTCTAAGGATAGTGCTCTCAAGGCTGCTACAGGACTCCAGCTGACAGGTAATGTTCCTTCAAGATCACTCAAAGATTTCACTGCTGAGATCTTCACTCACTGTTATTTTATTTAGAGATTTCAAACCATGGTGATTTTTTCATACCAAGTATGTACTGAGTTGTCCCAGTTTCCATTCTGGATGGAGCTCCTATAGGAATATACATCCATCCAAATGACTCTGGGGCTGAGGTGCTACTACTGAAGGGATGGCATCATCACTTGCAGAGGCTTGCTCCTGTTGGGTCATGGGGCTGCCAGGAAAAGGCACTCAGGAAGAAGGTGAGCAGACTGCAGTGTCAAGCACAAGTGGGAGATCAGCAGGATCTTCAGAGACTAGAGTGGCAAGAGCCAAAGCTCCGCTGGCACAGCAGGAGGGACAGAGATTATGTTTGAGCAGGGAAAGACAGGGACTCCACAGTGGTTGGGGTAGGAACTTCTGACCACAAGAAGGTTTTTCCTCTACCTTTGGATGTTCAGCTATTATATTATAGCGTAAGCAAAACAGCATGAGCTCATATCTCAACTATAGGTCCTTATTCTTACTTATTTCCCCACCCTCTCAAATAGTAAAAACCAGGAGCCCCTATCAATGCCATAGTATTTAGTGTCATGTTCTGCCTTCCTCTCTTAAGTAGCTCCTAGCAACAACCCTAATTAAATATGTAACATTTACTAAAACCAGTAATGTTAAAAGTAGTTGCATAACTGATTTATAAGCAGTAACTGATTCATAACCATAGGTTTATAGTAAAACATATTTTTATTTAAATACCTCTTCCTTCCATTTAGCAGGTCATAAAGCTGTCCACAGTAGATCTCATAAAAACTGATCAAAACGATGAGATCTTTTCTTGACTGTGATGCTTCCAGGTGTCTAAAGATGTCCTTGGCAGCCAAGGCGTAGAGTCCTGGGTTCCGGTGAGTACCTATCATAGTGTAGGTCTTGCCAGCACCAGTCTGCCCATATGCAAAGCAGGTTGCATTGCCTCTGTGAAGATAACATATTTTTAGTGTCATAACCTATTTATTCACATCTATTAAAAAAGATTTTGCAGTGTCAATATCTATCTATAGTGGCCTCTTGGCAGTAAGGCTTGGTTTGCTATCCTATCTGGGAAACTGTAAAACATTTAACAGTGATTCCCAAGCATGCCCTATGGAGGTCTGGCATGTCACAGACTGCTGGCTCTCCTTCCTTCTTCCCAACGCTAAAAATGCATTTGAGGAAACTAACAATTCATTATTGTTCTTCCAGCTGTTTAGATCCTTAAGTATCATAGGATTATGAATGGGAATCCTACTGATTATGAATCACAGAGAAAATGACTGTGACACGAGATGCAAAACAGTCACAAGTCAGGTTCTGTATTACCATGTTGTACTGGATGAAAATTAATGCTCCTGCACTATAATTTTCTGAGCAAGGTTACTTTGTCTCTGGCTGCAGTCCTGAATGCAGCTAAATCAACCTGAAGAGTTGTTGTTGCCTAAGGGAAGGTCTTGCTCTTCCTTTCCTCTGCTCCCAGCTGTGTGACCTACCCACTGACCCACCCCTGCCCATGTCAGCCCTGATGTTTGACTTTCCTGCACTGAACAAATAGAACACTTTCCAATTTTTCACAAGCCAATTTTCTGTTGTTTCAGTGAATTGAAGTACCTCACACAGGATCACAAAGTATTCCCAAACTGGCTTCATGTAACCTAAAGGAATGTGTCTACTGTGTGTAAGGAAGAGGATCATCCCATTTCAGTGGCAGAAAGTTGTTTGGCTCACACACTGCAGCTAGTGAAACCTGAGTCTTGGCTTATTCCAGATTATTCCAGCTTTGTCACCATATAATTTTAAGATTATAATGGCAATGCATGTAAAATGTCAAAGAGGTCTCATAATATGGCCCCACTGCCCTTCAAGCCCATCTAAATTGAGATTATTGGGTGCCTACTTCTCCTTCCCCATGCTTGCTGTTATACAAGCACTGAAGCCACAAGTATGATGTGAACAGATTCAGGGAAATGAATCAGCTAAAAAAAGAAATACTACTGAACAAATTATTTATTCCTCCCCCACCTTAAAAAAAGATTTTTTAGCTGTCTCAGTACCCTGGCAGAGAAATGGGTAAAAATGTAGAGCTGCAGTAAGCACAGTGAACAATTTCTTGCCAGGTTGTATTGCAGAATTAGCTCACTATGGTGTCAGATTAGACAGATGTCAGTGAAGGGGATGCAGCAGGAGGGACAGAAAAGTTAGGAAAAGCTGAGACAAAACAGTGGCCTCTCTTCTGGTGGCATTACTGGTTTAGCTGTAATGTGAACTGTGCCTTTAGTGATTATTACACAGCAAGTTACAAACCTCATTCTCCTTTTTCATTTTCCTTCTCTCAAGAGCATGATACTCTGATGATGATACTTGGAGATTTTCAGTAACAGAATGCTCCATTTTGTTAATTTTCAGCATGGATATGTAATCCCTTCCTTCAAAGACTCAAAAATGTAATTATATTCAAGCTTGATATTTTGTGTGCAAATAAGATCACTCATGTAAAGCCACCATCAATTTCCCATTAATCAGAAAGTATGTAATTATGATTAAACCCCTAAGCAAATATAAATCAGTAAAATAAAAATAAATCACAAGGTTATTAATAATTTCTCTTGCCCTGTGAACTGTACAAATGCATGCAAAAATATCTCACAGAAGTCTCATGAAAGAGGAAATATTATTCCTCTACAGATGAGTGTGATATATCACACAGAAGCCTTTGTTAAAGTGGAAATTAGACTTCAGAAATCTGGCACACATTTTTTTGTTCTAGACTGGCCATGACGTCTCTTTGTTGCATCTGAGGTGCAGTTTTAATTTCCTCTGTGATTTAGATTTCTCACCAAATGTGAAGAAAGTTTTCCCTGATTTGTTTTATCAAAATTGCAATCAAAGACATTCTAAAAAGGGGAAGGTATGTGGAAAAGATGAAATGAATGTATTTTTCAAAAGACAAAAAGTGTAAAGGAAAATAAAAGTATATGAAATTGGAAAATAATAAGGCAAAAAAATAACAGATGCAATCAATGATGCCCTACCCGTTAAAAATATGCTGAATGAGAGGATGAGCTGTCTTCATATACACATCCTGATTGGTACATGACTCCCCAAAGACTTCATCAAAATAAAAAACATGCTGAAAAAGAAATATGATCTTTACATGAAAATGAATGTTTCACTTCCCCTTCACCCCCATTCAAACTTGCCAGTGACTTCATATGGCTTTGGATCAGGTACAAAATGATCTAGCACATTTACCATGCAGCATGACATATGCAGGAACACATCTTATGACTAACCGAGACTAAGAGTAGGGAAAAAAAACCACAAAGGGAAGAAAAGATGCCTTAATTTCCCATCGTTCTGAAGCAGAACATACCACAGCCTTCTGACAAGGAAAAAAAAAAAAAAAAAGGAGCTAATTAAAGGAAACCTATTCTTGAAATGAATCAGCCTGCAGATGTACAGTAAGACTGTAACAGTAAAAAGAACTCAGAGTCAATTCTTGACTCCCTCAAAATTAGTCTTCAGTTGTGATTAACTGTCACTTCTGCAGACTTAAAACTTTTTGCACCAAAGACAGAAGCTATTCCTAAGCAAAGCTGGATTGTATTATCTCAGAAGGGGGCAAGAAAACCCAAAACTTCCCACACCCCAGATCTAACCCAAAGCAGCAGGGTCTCTGAAAACACTGCAACAGAGTAGGTTAAGAATAGTGTTTGCAGGGACAGTCATAAACATCCCATTTTCAAAGGAGCCTCCATGGACTGGTGTTTAATATTCTAATAAATTCAGTGCAATGCAAATTAAGGTGGTAGATTTCTAAGACTCAGAATCATTTCAGCAATGCACAAAGCAACCACACTAGCCCACAGCTGGTTAAACTAGGGAGTCTCAGCAGCTACGCTCAGCTCAGAGGGCACATGTGCTCTGTGATGGGCCTGTAGTTTGGGTCCCTTGGCTGTGGAGCTGGAATATGTCCCACCACCTCCCATTTGCTTTGTACTCCTTGCTGTGCTTTCTACAGGAGCCAGAGATGGAGGCAGGTGAGTAACCAGACTTGGAAGCAGAGTTCTCCTGAGTCCTATAGAAGAGACACAGCCTGTACCATGGCATACTTGTGTTTGGACTGTACTGACTGATAGATTTCATTTGTCTGTACCAACATAACAAAATCAATTCACAGTTATTTCAGCACTGAGACACTAAGGTTATAAGCACTTCACGAATGCCAAATATAGGTAGTCAGATGGACGGAGCGGGGTGGAGTTGCTGCATATGTCGCACCGTAAAAGGTGGTACATGAACCAGGCCCAAGAGAGCCGCAAACTGAATTTTACTGGATACTCCAAACAGTTGTTCCTAGGACCCAGACTGTAAAAATAACACCCAGTACAGTGAGAATGGCTTGCTGCTCTCTAGAAATCAGTTCTGTTGCTGGTGCTGTCAGTCAAAAGTGAGAATGTGAACTATGACTGCACAAGATATTTGGGATTAAGAAACAAAGACCAAAAGGGAACTTAATTTTCAAAAGCATTTGAGAACAAAGGAAGGGAGGGGGATGACAGTGTATGTGATTCATTGAAACAGACCTACAGCGCTGAAATATTAAAAAGGGAACTCCTCACTGAAGTACCCTGGAAAGCTATCAGGAGACTCTGCAGGAGGCAATTCTCCTGCAGCAACAGCACGTAGCAAAGGGTTTTATTTTGCCATGTGCTAAGAAAGCTGCAAGAGACATGCTTTTGAGGCTTAAAATTCTGGGCTCATGTTTTCTACCGCAGGCTGGCGTAAGTCAGAAGCAATTCAAATACAGTTATGCTGAGCTCACAAAAAGCCCACCACCTATTTCAGTCTCTTGGAGTGAATGGAGGCAGCCCTTTTCTGTTTCCCCTCATGGAAACTCCAAGCACAATTTGCTTTATCCCACCCATACAATGTGACTGGCCCATAAACACAACTTTCAAGTGACGCATGTTACCTGCAAAATATATTGTGTGAGATCAACTGCCTCCTTCTTTTCATGAAGAAGCAGGGTTTCTTTATCTTTCACTGTAATGATATTAACCTCTCCACGTCGCTCCTCTCTCAGGCCTAGAGGACGTTTTCGGACACACACTCTGATTTTTTCACTCTCTGTCCATGGAGTCTCTTTCTCAGAAGTACTGGATCTACAACAATAGTGTACATTTACATTTTTAAATCAGGTTACTACAGAATCTAGAATATGCATAAATTTGTTAGCTTTATCAGATAAATGTTTCTGTCTGTAATGGTTTAGCAATAAAAACCCAAAACATGTCTAATCATTACACAGTGAAGTTTCTGCTGTTTTTTCCTAAATAGACCGATGCCTTTTACACACTTCTGTTAAAAGAATAGTTGTGTTAATACAGCTACATTCCTGAACTTGTTGCTGGACTGGCATATTTTCGGTTGCCCACAAACATATGATTGAAGCTGGCATAGTATGCAAGTTAATGAAATATAATCTTACTGAAATGATTTGCAGTCACGATTAGTCAATAATGTACAGATGAAAGTATGGACAGATCTTGAAAATGAGAGGGTATAATATTTAGTAGGTTTTCCTCTTATACTGACTTTAATTCTTCCTATTATAGACTGTCAAAGAGGTTACAAATAAATGATTCAAACCAGGAAACAAGACAGTACCACCATGTTTCTAGTCAGCTCAAAGAAAATTTGAAATACTGATCTCGTCACTGTCTCCTCTTTTGTCTTTTCTCAGAAAAAATTATGTCGTTTCAGACCACAGGCAAAATTGTGCTGTTGTTTTGGCAAGTCTACTCTAGTTCCCTTCCAGACACCTGAGAAACATCAGGTCATTTTATGTTTCATTGATTAACCCAATGTGTAAATCATTTTGTGATGCAGCATAGAGAATATGCTTGAATTCAATCAAAATGTATTAATTCCACCTTTCCCATTTTCAAGCTGTCTTCAGCCAAATACATAATGATTTTCAGCCTGGATTTGAATGTCAATTTTTGAGAAAAAAAAATTTTAATGAAGCTCCAACTTGCCCAAAAGTAGTGTTTCTGCCATGCTGTCCAAATGCCCTTCCACAATCTCTTAATGTAGCAACTGAAAACTAACATATACTAGTTGTCTAATAATTAAAACAAATCCACAAGTTACTCAATATCTCATTACAACTACAAGCTTGTAGCATCATTGCTGTTGTGCTGCATGATTCCCCAGAAGCATATGGTATGCAGATAAAAATCTCAAGATGCAGTCTTCAAAGAATACACACAAGTAATCTTTACTTGTAACTGGAGTTGCTTTAATTTTAGCATAGCCTTCCCATGCAGACCAGGATCAGGCCCTGCATTTAGATGGAAAATTCTTTCCGCTGAAAAGAAAGGCAACAATACTTGAAATAAGATGCTTCGTAAGCTAGTGTGAGCTTATGGATATCACTAGGCACCAAATGTTGTCCAACAAATGATCAGAGGCTCTGAAGTTCAATTCTCATGTCAGAGGCTGGATTTCCTGACCTACATAAAGACCCTCTCGTGCTCTAAGAGGTCGAAGGAGGAAGGACTGATTGCAAGATTTGGAGAAAGTAAAAACTGAAGACTTGGGGGCTCAGTTTATGAGCAAAAAGACGTAAATTCTTCCTAGTACAGAGGCACATTTAGCTGAATACGTTTTGTATGGGAAGAGAATGCATTTTAATTCTATATGGTGAACCTGAAGTTTAGATCTTCTGTTAACCTTTCTTAAATAGAAATTGTATTTTATAACAAAATATATTTTTTTTATTATTAGAAAAAAACAAAAATCTTGACACAAATCATTAGAAATCTGATTAGACAATAGGTCAGAAGAATCACTATGCCCTGTTGGCTACTGCCAAAATCAAGCCATTTGCTGTGGGCAAGTGAAAAATATATTTAAACATAGTAAAAGACCTCTTTGTCTTTCTGCCATTTGAAATCATGCCAGTGTTTTCCCATGTTTCTCATAGACAAGACTAGATTAGCCTTCACAGTGGTCAGATCACAAGGTGACATGGGAATGGATGGATTCAGCAAAGGAGTTAGGCACTTGCAAAAGAGGAGTCACAAACCCAAGTGTCAGCAGACGGGCCCAAGCCTGGAATGTGTAACACATACTCTGTGGTCAAAACAGGAGAAAGAGAAACTCAAGCATGTCAGGAGGAGGATGCCGAAAGCCCAGAAGATGAACCATAATGCTAGGCACAGAAGAATGTGCTTAGAAATGAACAAGAAAAGAAAGTGAGGACAATGGAGAACATGGCTCTGTCACAGGATTAAAAATCCTGAACCCCTCTAGCTGAGCCATTAGGTTATATTTCACTGTTTTTTACTTGCCAGCACTATGAATCCTGCCCTTTTAGTTGTCCCTTGGCTAACTTCTAGAGAAGACAGAGAATGTGCTAAGATGTCAATATATGTAGGGTGTTAGTGCACTTCTCTGGAAGGTGGGTAGGATTTTTTTTCCAGCAAAGGGGAGTTATAAATCTCTGTCTTGCATTTCACAGTTTAAGTGCTCTAACTGCTATGTCACCTTAGTATTTTCCCACTGTGGCAACAGCATCTATCCCTCCAGGTTATATGAATGCTCAATGAGAGTTGTAACTGACACCCTGACTCCATGGATCCTCCTATATAACAAATCTTTCCTCACAGCCTTCCCAGATCAAGCCCCAACCTCATACAGCTACCTCTCTTCGCTGCATTTAAAAACAGAGCTGCCATGACTGCATTGAAATGAGCTTGATACTGGTAGTATGACTGCAGAGGGGCACGTACTCTGCTGCTGAATCAGGAAAAAATATTTTGTACTTTAAACATGTTGCCAGGGTAGACTTACCAGTGGTTCAAGATAACCATAGCTCCTCTTTTACTAAACACTGAGAAAAGTATGAAAGTTACAGGTCATGTGCTTGGGGAGCAGTTGAAAGGCATCCCTATCACCATCACGTCTATATCCCATCCCAGTCATATTCAGTTTCTTTTTAAAGCTCCAGCTAAGAATTTTTTTTATAAAAAATTAAGCCATCACTGTGTATAACTTTTTTACCAGGGAAGGAAAATGAGCCAAAACATGAAAACGCCAAAGCCTTATATTCAGAAAGACAATAAAGACTATTCTTAGGCAACCTTGGTGAGTAGCAGCTGGTGAAATTCAGCTGATTCCTTCTACCAGACTTGGAGAGTTTTAAGTGCTTATTAATATCCCTCTTCTCTTTAAGATTTTGCATTGCTCTGTACTGGTAGGAGTGCTTATTTGGAGGTGATGAACACAGATTCTCCTCCACAACGAAGAAAGAATTAACGTGAGATATAGCAAACTAAAGGTGACTGATTATTACCTGATGCAGGAATGAGGTAGTCCATAATTATACCCTGAAATATGAGTTATTCTTTGTATGATAGGAGCTTCAGAATCCCCCAGGAAAGGAGCAATATCATCAGAAACTGTTGGACAGCTCAGGCCCTTTTTTGTGCATACTCCAGAAGTATTTAGGTCTCTTCTAGTTGATCTGATCAGCTCTGAATCATGTGGTTGAATGTGTCCCAACATTTCCCCTACACTGTTCTTCTCTTCATTGGTACTGGGATCAGATGAACCATATGATTCAGATTCAGAGTCTTTAACCGTTCCATCCTTTTCTTCGAAGAAGGACTCAAAACGCAGCTGTCTACAGGGACCTGATCTAGTCACCTGAGGCTGAATGAAAAGGCCACTTGTTTGAAAATCTTGCTTGTTTAAGTCTGCAATGTCTTCCTCTTGCATAATTTTGATTATTCTAATGAGCTGAAAGAGTCGTTTGCGGTCATTCATGTCATGGACCCCCAGTTTGGTATAATCTTTCATGGAAACTTTTGCAAGCTCATCAATCTTCTGAAGACCGAAGGCAGCAAAATGGGGATAGTATTTTTCAAGTTCTGCCTCACAAAGGCATTCATAAAGGCATGATGCCATCTTCAAGCTAAAGTCTACAAGAAAGCAAACAAAATAAATATTAGAGCCATATGAAACATAACATTTGACAAAGTTACTAATGAAGAAACTACAATTCTTGATGCCATTACCTGCAGTTAGGCTAGAAGATTGTTTAACTCCAAGTTTACAAGACACTAGACTGCTAAACACTACAGAATATAACAATAGCAACAATTAACTAAACATGAAACAAATATTTTAGAATTATAGACAATACACAATAATGTGTAAGAAATGCCCAAGGCAGTGTTACTTACTGCTGCGGAGTTCCTACATGCCTGATGTCTACTTGATGAATGCCACAGCTACTGAAACCCTGTCCTCAAGCTACAGAATGTAAAATGCCTAATTTTAGACACTCAATTTAATATCAGAGCATGTGGTCTAGTGTGGTTCAGCTATCCCTGGTTAACTAACCAAAGAAGAAGAAATTGCATTTGTCCTCACCTCAAGCTGAATAAAGACCATTCAGCTTATACATGTACTACAGCAAAGTTCTAGTTTTGTCACGTATCTGTCTCTTGTATGTCGTGAATCTTGTGCACATTTCTAAGTGTTTCTGACAGAATAACCAAAACATTCTGCGAAATATGAAATACAGAATTTCTCTGAATCTTTATATGCCACTGGAACACCATACTTGCATTCTTGGGAAACCAAAAAAGAAATATGCATCACTGAAAGGTATGCCAAAAAACCCTCAACTCTTTCACTCATGTCTCCCTAGCAATGCATTGTGCAGCTGTCTGTATCCAGATGGATTAATATCTGCAGATATTTTTACTTGTTCCATAAAATGGAAAAATGATAGCACTTCAAGTATCTGTTGCCCACTGCCTTCTTATATCTTTGTTCAGTCTAGGACCTTAGCAAATACAGCTCTTATTCATGGCTGGAGGCTACAATAACATTCAACAAATCCAAGTTATTTAAGACTAAGTTTTTCCCTCTGTAATTCAGGGTAAATTCTTTGACAGGATTTTCACACATCTCTACAATAGCACTGTATAAGAAAATAAGGTCACCAAATATCACACCCAAATATGATTCCGTATCATCAGTTAACATATTATGTGGAAATAATAACAACAAAACTGTAATAAAGATTATATTAAAATGCTGATTGTATATTACATAAGAGGCCAAAAGGGACAGTAGAGGACATCTAAAATGACTTAGAAGCTAGATCTAAACTGTAGACAGCTCAAAGTACTGAGAATCTGTTAAAGATTCAAACAATTCAGATTTCTTTTGTCTGTTCTCACTCTTTACCCTAGATTACACCTAGATCTTTATATATGCTTGTTAAATACAGTGGCCAAAGACCAGTGCAAGAACTAATCTGGTGTTAACCTCTGTTTGAATTATAATGTTGAACACAGGAGAGAGAAGGGAGGATAAAAAGAAAAAAATAAAATGGAGACACTTCCCAAAACAAGAACAGCAGACAAGGGGAGAGAACCGAGAACTTTAAGATCAAAGTTCTAATTAAAAATTAAACAAAATATATTTAAATACCTAGAAATGACTGTAGAGACAGGTTTCCATTGTTTGGTGCAACAGGGGACTAGGATTCTCAAAATATGGGAAACTCAAGTAATATAGGTACTGCAGAATATACAACAAGGTTAGTAGTGAGACATGTAAGCAGCTCTGCATAGCTTATTGGCTGAGGTTCTGTGCCATGAGAAAGCAACTAAATGGCTTCTTAATGAGAGCTGGCCCAGGAAGTAATATAATTGCTTCTGCTTCCCCAGATAAAATAAATCTTACTGGATTTAAGTGATTTCAGGAGATAACTCGAGTGTCTCTCCATCCATGGCACAGCAATTTCACAACATCAGAAAATAATGGGGTAACAAATTAATTAACCATAGAAAAATATTAAGCAATCAGCATTGTGATGAGTTGCAGTATTTTCTGATTACTTTAAAACTCAAGAGTGGACAATTTTCTAAAAGATTTGGTCTGGTTCATAAATGAGAGAACTCAGAGGAAATTGCAGTTGTCATTGAAACCCCTCTAGCCTTTTAATCAGAGATGCTCTAAAAGAAAGGGGTGCCTTTTTTTCTCATTAAAAGAATACTTTAATTCATCGAACACTGTAGAGTCCTTTGTGTCTAAAGAAACTATTTCTAAAACAGATAAAAATTCTTCAAAATACCTTGGCTTTGTAAAGAAATGAGTATTGGTAGGTTTTCCAAGAATCCTAAATTGTTAATGCCATCTACTGGCAAAAAAAAGGTAAGACACTTTTTCACAATAAATAACAGCCGTGATTCCCTCAGTTATTGTCAGGATCTAATTTTGTTTGTTCACCTAAGAGAACATTTGTGTTCTAAGGCAGAAAAATATACCATTCTTCAGTGTGCTAGTTTTATATCCAAGCCCAGGTCTTGTTCCCTGCAAAGCTATGGGTGGCCTCACTGAAAACAGTATTGAGACAAAAGCCTAAGACTTCTTAAAATAGTTGGATATAACGTATTTTGAGAAAGAAGTGTGTTAGTATGGAGGTATGATTCTCCATGAGCACTCAGTTATAAGGTCAGTCTCAGGACTAAGAAAAACTTCTCAGTCAATCTCTATGACAACATCACTTGTAATTCTTCGCTGTTCAGTGGTTGCCCTTCTCATTTTAGCTGGTAGAAAGACTCAGCTTCGCTTTGAAATTTTCACCTTCTTCTCACACAAGGGACCTGCTTTGCCACTGACAAAAAGATGCTGAAGCTGGTCAGTAAAACAGTGAAGTCAAAAAAGTTCAGAGCATCTTTACTTACTAATACATGTGCTAGCAGTGAGGGAGAAACAGTGGTGATGTACCTTACTGCTGGAACATGTGAGATATCTGAACAAGGGAAAGCACAGAATAAGATCAGAGTTTGTCACCCCAGAACTCCTCCTTTGTTTCAGTAACAGAGGGGTTTTACCGGTCATAAAGATGGAGAAAAAAAGAAAAGTCAGGCATAAATAGTAGAAATAAGTGGTTACATTTTACATATTCTGAGGGAAATCAACTTACCACAGAATTATGATCTAGGAGCTGATCCTTCATTTTAAAATGCTTTTAATTATTAATTAGCTCTTACACAGATCTTTTCATTCTCAGTGCACTTTTCAGAGTGGATAAAAGGCTGGCCTTCGAAGATACTCAGTGTCCGTTACTATGAATAAAATAAATCACATAAAATCTCTACATAGACTATTTTAAGAATGAAGCAGCCTTAGACCACTATACTTTGATCCTCATTGACCTCTGATATAGTAAAGATCTCAGTGCATCGTTCACCTGAATAACGTTCGCCTGGTTCGCCTGATAACATGCCCTGTTATCCCCCTGTAGCTCACGCATATTTACCTAACAATTTTAGCTGACTTTCACTGATACTCCTGAGCATGACCACTGAGACATGACACAAGTATCACTATATTCATAATTTAAACTAGAGAAATTATGTCAAAGTGAAGAAATCTTTTGTGGCACTCTACAAATGCAAACCACACATGTAATTCTGCAAATTAAAGATAAGATAATAATATATAATAATAAGATAATCATACTGAATCATGAACTCTGGTCTGATCATCAAATAATTTTATCACGCACAATTTTCAAGGGTATCTGATAAACATAGCAATTGTTAATCAGTGTACAAAACCTAAATAGTACCTCATTTTCCTTGGTATTGGGTAAACAATTTGGCTTTACAACTACTTCATAAAAACAAAAGTTAAGAACTTATAAAATCTGTAAATGCATGTAGCAGGTAGGTATGTTTCCTCTCCTGACCACAACTACAGCAGTGTATTGTACATATTACTTGTAACCACATCACCCCAAACAGCGCAGGCTCTGCTCGTGCTAAAGTGTCTGCTGGTTTTTGAAGTGTTGAAGCGGAAGACCAGAACAAAACCTAACTCATGTCATCAGTCATCTATCTTTATTTCTTATTCATCTGAATATTAAGCTCTTTTTTAACTCTAATCCAAAGTCAAATCTGACTTAGCTCTCCAGAAGTCAATGGATAATTTGCTCTTCCAGAGCATCACACAGAATGCTCTACCTTTAATCATTCTGACCCCATTCCTTAGAAACTAGGGTATTCCTGTGAAGAACGGGATTAGGGTATGGTTGTACTTTTATAAACACGAGCTCCATAGTAAAAGATAATCTGTATTGTAACACGAGGTCATCATTTCAGTTTAATGCAGTAGGTAGGGATCTATGAAACAGTGTTTGAGGTTGCAGCAGATCCCTGTGTAAGCTCATAGGATTACACTATACAACTCCATGTGCACGTACGCAACACAGTACTAATGTTCTGCTACTTGTCGGAACAAGTGTTGTAGCAGCCTGTTTTGAAGGAACAAAGCTGACTACTAGCAACAGATAAACAGTTTTGGTATAGTAAAACTAATTGGAGAGGAGGGAATACTTCTAATGTTAAATGACTATTTTACTGTTGGACCATGATGAAGATCTCCTTGCAGCAACACTCCCTACTTCCTTTCCTACTGACATACCTAACACAGAGTTGGTTATTAAAACTAGTCTGCTCTTTGAAACAGACTTGAAAACAACTAAACGTTGGGGGGTTTTTGTTTTCCAACAGAGTAATTTCAATTGGCAAGAGACCGCTATTTTTTATAATCAGCCCTTCATGCTAAGTATAGTTTGGTGACCTCAGCAGAAGAGACTCCGTCCTACAGCTGATCCCCGACAACTGCTTAAAACAACAGCTGCATGGAAATGGGAAGTGTCTAATATTCAACCACACGCTAAGAAAATAATCTGAGTTATATTGGGATGCTGATTATTTGAAAATTGTGCCTGAGCTTCTCCTGCCAGTAAGATTTACCAAATGGCTTTCAAAATTTATTTTATAATTGTATCAAAACAAACTGTGGTGCATCTGGAGTTACACTGTGTGACTGAGAGGAGGCATGGTTACTGAATTTAGCCCCATTGGGATTTATAGCTTCTCTCACTGAATTTAGTCCCAGACTGAGGAACTGTATAGCTTCACCCCCTGGATGAAGGGATGCAGGGCTGAGACAGGGGCCTCGCACCCCCCTGCCAGGCCCCTCCCGCAGCGGCCGGCTCGCCCTTGAGTTCCGCTGTGTGTGGGCTCTCCTCCCACACTTCCCTGCGCTTATCCACCTCGGTTTTTTTCCTCTCTGCCCCGCACAGTCCAGAGTCGGGCGGGGCGCAAAGGAGAGGGCGGCCCAGCAGACCCCACCGCAGCCAGCTCGGGCTCCGCGAACGGGACAGGGCTGAGGGAAGCCACGGCGCTGCCCCAGCGCGCCCGGGGAGGGTGACGGCCCCTGGGACAACTCGCTCCCTCCCTCAGCACGGCCGTCCCCTTCACCTCACGGCAGACACCGCCCGCCATCCGCCGCGCCTCCCCACTCACCTGCCGCGGCGCCGTTCGGCAGCAGCGACTAGGCCGCGTCTCTATAGCAACAACGCTTTTCCCGCTTCAAACGCTCGCGCGCACCGCCGCACCGCAGCCAGCGAATCGAAGGAGGGAGAGGCGCGGACGGGGCGTGTCTCGGCGCGGAGAAACCAATCCGAGGTCTCCGCGGCCGGAGGAGGCGGAGACTAGGGGAAGGCGGGCGGCGGAGGGAGGACGGAACGCCAGAGGAGGGGCTACAGCCCGTGCTTGTGCGCTGTGATTGGCTGAGGCTCTGTTCAGTCGTGCGCCACGCCCCGCCTACTCCCCTGTCCGGAAGCGAAGGTGAGGGCGGGGGGCGAGGGCGGCTGCGCCGGGGGTGGCCTGGGCTCTGCGCCGCCCTGCCCGGCTCCCCCAGTGTCTCGGCGTGCCTCGGGGCTGTCCCGCTGCCGCGGCAACGCCCGGAGGGGCTCCAGGCC